TTTAAACACCACAAGCATTCTTACTTAGATTAAATCATGGGTCTCCCTGGTCTCCAGGCATGCCTAGACATGACCATGAAGGGACTGAGATCCCTGGAGTCTCTCTAGTAACTGCAGGCCAAATCAACAGCAACCCTAAGAATAAGCATTCTTTTTTAAAAAACACAACAGAACTAGGCCACACACATTTATTCTCATTATTTAACTTCTTTACTTGTACTATCTACAAGATAAAATGCCTTTTTAAAAATTTATTTCAGGAGGCAATGCATCTTAATGACTTTTATATGTTTTCTTTATTTTTTTAATTATATTTGAAGAAAAGTTTTAAAAATCTAAATTTCAAGGCATCTACTGCAAACAATGCCTTGGATGACAGCAATCCAGTTCAGGTAAGATATGCAAGATGCCACTAATAATCATAAAACCTCAATCAGGAAGAGGTAGTAAATCTTATATTGGGTAAAAATGACTAACAATTTGAAAGAACAGATTTGTTTTTGTCACTATGCCCTAATCAAGACTTAAAAGTTGGTATATTGCTAATGGAATAGAGGGTATTTTGTTCCTCATTGTATTCATATAGGTATATTTAACTATAAAATACAAAATTGGCTCTTAGAGAGCTATCTATAGAGAGTTATCTATAGAGAGCTCAGTTTAATTAGCTGCTTTCAGTGTGTTGCCTGGTATGGCTTGCTTTGTTGTACATTCTAAAGGAGCACAAGGGATTTACGTAATGTGTTATATTGTGCCTCTCCCAAAGATAAGATGAATATAAATTATAGTTAGTTGTAAATGACCTGTCTTTTGTCTTTTGCAATTTAACTTTACATTAATGTTTTCATAAAATTTCATTAACTTTACATTAATGTTTTTACATTAATGTTTTCTGTACTGCACATTTTATACTTCACTTTGGTTTCTTACTCTTCATGTTGGTGGTCACAGAACAAACAATAAATTTGGCAAAATATACGCTTTAAAATTCAGAGATAATGCTGTAACTTAAACTGATCCTTGGGAAGTTCTTCTGGTGTTTTACTAGTGTGAGTTTGGAATTTGTGTTGAATGATCTAGAGTACCTGTCCCATCCATGTTACCAGTGGCATCTAGGGGACCATTTGCTGGATTTAGGGAATCAGTCTATATCTGGGAAAATTTTTGTGGAAAATAATTTAGAACTAAGCTTTCAGGGTCAACAATGAGTGCTCTATAGTGGGTCCATGAAAACTGTTGGGGGTAGGGAAGCTACGTCCAATTGAGTTCCACAAAGTATGTAATCAGAGAATATTGTTTAATATCTTCTGATTCATTCATTGAAGGAAAAGGGGGAAAGAAGTAACTAAAAGAAACAATTATTAGTAGAGGTCTCCCAGAAATCTTCTGTAATTGTCTTTGCCTAATCTACTCCAAACACACATAGAAACACATCTACACTATCAAATGTGAAATTGTGAGAAGAAAATGGAACTGGTCACAAGACAATTGTTTCTCTGGCCTTCATAGCCTTCACTCTGAATGTTCAAATTTAGTTTTGCTTCAAGGACCTACTCAAGAGTCACCTGCTCCATAAACCTTTCCCTGACCATACAAACTCTCAATGCCCCACCCTACCCCCTTCTGTCTCTATTCAGTTTAGTAATTTATTGTACACTGTCTCCAACAGCAAATAATGTGTTCACTTTTTGTTACCACCTACATGGTACATATAGAGAGTGGAATGAATCACCTTAGATAAACATATAGCTGATATTTAAATAAATATGTGCTGTAAGTAGAAAAACTTTTGCCTAAAGCAGATCTTGAGAGTATAAAACTGTGGCCTCGATCTCATCAGGACCATACTTTGATCTAATCAGCTGGCTGGCTATTTGACTAGAAGGTCCAGCCTTCCACCTCCCCTCATGGCCCTCTAAGAGTATGAGAGGGATGCAAGAGTGCAGATGAAGGCCTGCAGACCAGAGGCCCATCGATTCTGGTCAAGGGCAGTACCTCCACTGCAGGTTGGATCCCTGGCCCAATCAGCGTCTTTCGGGAGGCAACCAATCCACGTGTATCTCTCTCACATCCATGTTTCTCTTTCTCTCTTCCTCCCTTCTTCCCACTTAAAAAAAAAAATCAATGGAAAGGTATCCTCTGTTGAGGATTTAAAAAAGAGTGCAGATGAAACTCTCCAAGTCAGTCCTACCTCACAGAGTACCCAGGCCTATCTCCACTTGTAAAATTCAGCCCACACAGTTTGGTAGCGGGCAAGCTGTCTTCTCTAAAAAGGCGGGCATGAACAGTGGGCTAGTGATCTTCTTGGGGACTCGGAAGGCAGAAGGAGCTCTTTGTTCCTCCAGTCACATCAGGTAGAGAAAATTTGTAAGGATCTGTGCCTTGGTCTCCAGGGCCTCTTCCCTACAGGGGCCCGCCCTGGGCCCCTTCTCACAGCTTCCTTCCCTCCCCCATCCCGCCCCTCCCCCACCCAGCCCTAGCGCGTGCCCGCCCCGCCCCTCTGCCCGCGGGGTTCCAAGGGCGGTTGGCTTGCCAGGACCCTGGTCACTCGGCTGCTCGGAGCTGCGGGGCACACGGGGTTAAGAGAGCGGGCTCTAGGGTCTGGGCTGGGAACTGTAGAGAAGTAGTCTGGGACCCCGGCCCAGGGTTGAGGGAGGTGGGAGCCCAGCCCAAGAAAGCGCTGGGGAAAGGACAGGGGAAGGGGACCTGAGGGGGAGGGCCCTGGGTGGTGCGGGAGGCTGCGGAGCTGCGGAGGCCGGACGCCAACCCAGCCGCAGGGCTGAAGCCAGCGGCTGGGCGCTCGCGGAAGCCACCTGGGATTGGGGGCCAGCCCCGGCGGTGCGGGTCCCCTCTGGAGCGCTGCCCGCTGGGGGTGCCACGCCAAGTGTGCGCGGCGAGTCCCGCGGGGCAGCGCAGCTTGCGGGCCGGGAGAGGGTCCCCGGTGGGTCCAGTGGTGTCCTCCGGAGACCCTCGCCCTGGGCCTCACGTCCAGGCACTGCGGGCGTCGTCCCGGGTGAAGTGTAGGGTCGAGGTGGGTCCCGACTCCGGGCCCGCCGGCTCCGGGACATCGCGTCAGCGCTGCGGACCGTCTGGGAGCGGCAGCCCGCGGGCGCCCGGTGCTCGGTTTGTAGGCAGTGTAATTAGCTGATTGTACTTTGGTGCTTGCAATCACTAACTCCACTGCCATCAAAACAAGGCACAGCATCACCCGTCGCCCCAACGGGAGGAGGACGCCACCGTGGGCAGCAAACGGCCCACCTGAAACATTTGAGAGGAGAAAGCTGCGCTTCGAGATCTGATGCGTCAGCATTTGATGGGCCTTGCACTGCGTGGAGAGCGCGCTGCCCAAGTCGAGTGAACCCCTGCAAGTCCGGCGGGCTGCTGCTTCCGATACACTTCAGCTGCTCCTCTCTCTGAGTAAAGCAAGCTTGTGCAGTCCCATGTAAGGAAGGCGAAATATGTGGGATTTAATGGCCTTAACAGTAAAATACAGACTTTTAAACTGCTGGGAGAAGCCCTCTATGTAACGTTTAATGCGGTATAGCAATGATTCATTGTGCCTATTTTTCATCATTTAGTAAGGCATTCACAAACCTACCAATTAATATGAGCCACAGCTGAACCAAAGGTTTGCCTATCACAATGCATGGAGGTGCCTACTTGAGACTGCAGTTTGTGATGAAAGTAAACTTTTTTTTTTTCTTTCTTGTGAGTCTAGTTACCAGGCAGTGTAGTTAGCTGATTGCTGACAGTACCAATCACTAACTACACGGCCAGGTAAAAAGATTTGGGAATTCATCCAAATGAGCTGCCTGTGTACAACAATGTTTGGGGGAGGTGGGATTGGAATTTGCTAATATTAACTGTTGCTTATTAATAGCTCAGCCAAGAGAGAAATCATTATTTTAGCTGCTATATATACATTTATAACATATATGTATTTTTATATATAATTTTTCAGTAGTTCTTCAGGCTCTTAACCAGAAAACATTCAGAGAATTTGAGCAATAGGATTTTTTTCTTACCTGATATATGTCGTTGTATAGATCTGTAATTATAAACTTTTGAAGTTTTTTTCTATAAGACTGTATTTATATTTTGAAAGAATAAAGTGTCATAATGTCAACAATTGTGTTATAAGCATCTGTTCATTTCCTAAATTGCCTTTATAAGGAGCATCTCAATTCCTGGTCAGTAATCACAAATTCCCATCGTTGAAATGATTAAACGGTTCCTAGATTAACAAAATCTCTTGGGAAAGCTATTCACAAGCACTTGTAAATATTTTTGTAAGACCACATTAACAAATTTTTTTATTTTTCATGAAAGGACTGAGTCCACTCATCAGACTTATCTCCTCTTTTAAGCAATCATCTACACTGTTGCAGTCTAGGCAGCTTTTAGAGGGACCCATTTAATAAATGCAGCTACAATCTAAATCCAGTTTCTTTCCTAAAATTTATCTTAAAGAATGGGGAGGGGGAGATTATAACAAAAACTACATACATGATTACCCACTGGCCCAGTTCAGGCCTCTAGCTCCCAATAAAATGCTAACTGCCCTATTTAATTTTCCAACCAAACCCAGCCCAAAACGAGCTATGGCAATCTGGTGTGGTAGAGGGGATTGGAGCAATGGGGCTAAGGAACTAAAAGCTTTATTTAGGTATCTTTTGGGGGATAGAAACTGGAGAATGGGGGAGGCAGATAGAAGGCTGACCCAGGATATGAGAGCTGAAATGCTTCTCCACTGACTCCAACAGGACAAGACACGCCCCCAAATGATGTTTTGACTCTCCTATCGGGATTCTGAGGCTGAGACTGGTCCCAAAGCCTGTGATCACTGCGGAAGTGGATTTCAGAGGGCCCACCAATGTGTGCTGGACTCCAACATCTACGGAGGAAACTAAGGGTTTCAGGCAGGTTGCCAACTTGAGGGTTCTCTGAGAGGCAGGGCTGGGAGAGGAGCCAGGGAGCTTGGAGAAGCGACCTCAGTTGCCATGGAAACAAGGCCAGGTACAATTCCTAATCAAGGAAAGGAGTCCTGTGAAATTTGTCCCCAGGGATTACTGGTGTTCACTGGCTCTTCATCAAAGGACACCAACCTGGCCAAGCAGTTTTGGATTGGGGCTTCAATGTATCCTCCTAAAGAATCCCAACTGGTGCTGTCCGGATGTAGCAGTAGGCGTCTACCCATGGCGCCATCATCCAAGAGCAGTGCGCCTGGTGAGTAGCTGCCTCCTGTTGATCTTGTCTGCCTTCACCTTAAACAACATGGAAGATATCAGAGCCCCTCCCAGAAGAAACTGCTGAGCATAATTCTTTTTTTTAAATTGTGCTTGACATTCAATATTATATTAGTTTCAGGTGTACAGCATGGTGATTAGACACTTATATAACTTAGGAAATGATTCCCCTTGACCCCCATAAATCTAGTAGCCATCATATATAGTTATTGCAATATTATTCACTATATTCCCTATGCTTTGCTTTCCATCCTGTGACTATTTTTATAACTGGCAATTTTTACTTTCTCATCTCTTCTTCACCTTTTTTCATCCATCCCCTTAACACCTGTCCCATCTGGCAATCATCAATTAGTTCTCTGTATCTATGAGTCTATGTATCTGTTTTATTTGTTCCTTTACTTTGTATTTTAGATTTCACATGGAAGTGAAGTCATATGGCATTTGTCTTTCTCTGTCTGACTTATTTCACTTAGCATAATACTCTCTAGGTCTATCCTGTTGTCCCAAATGGCAAAATTTCATTCCTTTTTATAGCTAATATCTCATTGGATATATGTGCCAAATCTTTATCCATTTGTTTATCAAACCTAATTCTAAAATAAGAATCTTTTATTTGAAATGTCTAAAACCTTATACCAATAGTTCTTAAAACTTCTCAGCAATTATTCTACTCTGAAGGATCATGTATATTTGTTACATCTAAAAGTACATCTTAAAGTATCCCTGAGGCTATGGCATCTATTTGGCTAAAGGGTATAGAAGGATCTGGGGAAATATTATTATATCTTGGCTTAAAGTTATTAAGAATAGTTATTTACATAATTGAGTTCAAACATGAAATCTCATAGACCTTAGTGAGGCCTAAGATGTAGAAACTATTATGTCATTTTTATAGGTATAGAAGGCTTAAATACTTTTAATGCTGTGGTTTTCCAATGATTTCTATTCTTTTGTAATTTTTAGAGAGAAGTTACATGCAGTCTTTCCTTGAGGAAAACAGTAAGTACCAAGTTTTATGCCTTTCAACATCCTGATTCGAAGATTCTTCAGAAAATGTGTAGTAAGTATAAGAATACAACTTGACAGTTTGGCATAACTTTCTGAAATGCATAAAACCCTGCCTCAGGAACCACCCTATTTATTCAGAGGAAAGTATCTAAATTCTTATGAAATGTTGAATGGGAATGTGGAAATTGGAATCTCTGATACAAAATATGTTCTCTTTAGAGACCTTTTCTTGTCTCTGGACTTAGACTTACTCATCTTCTAAAGAGATTAGAGGTTCCCTGCAGCCATAGCTAATTAATTCCATCCTATTATTTATGAATCTGGTTTATAAAGTTTTAAGACACAGTATGTATTTGTGTTTACCTTCCTACTCTTTGTATTACCTTCCCATCTTCATGCAATTTTATATGAATATTATTGTAAAATCTTGATAAAATTATTTTGGATTGAGTTTTACTTTATTTTCTTTAGAGGGAACAGCTGTCATTGTTGAAACCCTAAAGATTGAGGAGAAAAAAATGTATCTCCAAAAGGTAGGCCAACATCAGAATGTCATCTGATTTTTATTAAATGTTCTAAATAATCCCAATTATTCATTTTAAACATATGTATATAAAAATTTTCTACTACTGGTATGTCTGCTTGAACAAATGGAAAACCTTTGTTAGAATTGTAATTGAAGATTAAAAAATTCTATTAAACTGGCTATTCTCAGTTTTTGCAAAAGCCTAAGGATGTGTAGGAACACAAAATTATAGGGAAATGGAGAAAAATTGATTCACATACTTTGCATTCAATAAGTCCCCCGACCATATACAATGTATCTAAGAATAGACATATTATAAGATCAGGAAAAATGGAATATAATTGACTGTCTTAATAGGTCAAAATTAAATGGTCAGAAGAGTGAATCTGTGATCTAGAACCATTTCCACTAAGGGCTGAAATTAAACACATTGGTGTTGTCAAATCAACTCAATACATCTCTTTTTGGCAATAGGCTTTGTTTGCTTTTTGTGATGCAGAAACAGCCTTTAACTCAGCAGTTAATGCAGTGATTTATAGAAATACTTTGGTTAATGGATGAATTTCATTCCTGTAACTGTTCCTGTACTATAAAGGCAAAGACAAAGGATTTGCTTTGGCCTAATGTCTTTAATCATTGCACATATTGGCAAACTCAGAAAGACTTATCGGCAATTCTGCATAAATTACAGAACAATGAATTTGAGTTTGCTGATTACATTAATTCACTTTGTGGACTATTGGTGATTCTTCCAAACAAATTAGGTAATTAGAAATAGTTAGTCAGCATTTACTTCTCTCTTGAGGATATTAGGTACTTTTTAATACTAGGACTTAAAGGGAGGGAAGGAGCCTAATTTTCAGTGAGGTAAAAATCACTAAAAGTTAGCTTCTTCAGCGCTTTGGAGTTAAAGTTTCATTTACTTTCCATTTGGAAGGGATTAAAATAAAAGGTTAAAGTTTTCATCTTTTGTCAAACAATTAAGACAAGGTAATAGGAGTTACAGGTGGGTGTTCTGCTAATGGACTATTGTATTAATATGTTAGAACTGGTTTCCTTGCCCCAGGTTCTTCTATTAACTTATGAATTACTTAATTCCACAGATTTTTATTGAGAACCTGCTGTGCCAAGTACTGTACTAGATGTTGGGAATGCAAAGATAAGATGTGTTCCTGATTTTCAAGCATTTACAATCTAGTGGGAGAGATAGCCAATTAAAGTCAAGAATTATGATATATTCTTATGATAGATGTATGCACATAATACTGTGGGACCATATTGAAGGACATTAAAATCAAGCTTAAAGAATTAATAAAACTTCTCTAAGAAGTGGGTTTCAAAGAATGTATGGAGCTGACCAGACAAAGAATATGCAAAGCATTTCTCCAGTGCACTAGTCATCTTCCTAAATCCCAAATCCTATTATACTGTTCTCCTGCTGTATTCGTCTGTTAGGGTTGCTGTAACAAAATACCACAGACTGAGTGGTTTAAACAACAAAATTGTATTTTCTCATAGTTCTGGAGGCTGGAAGTCTGAGATCAAAGTGCCATCAGAGTGGGTTTCTGATGAAGCCTCTCAGCCTGGCTTGTAGAAGGCCCCCTTCTTGCTGTGGCCTCACATGGCAGAGGGAGAGCTCTGCTGTCGCTTTCTCCTAAGGACACTGGTCCTATCACATTAGGGCCCTACCTTGATAAGTTTTAAAAAATTTTTATTAATTTATTTTTGTTACAGATGTTTCTCCTTTTTCCCCCCATTGACACCCTTCTCCCCATCCCTCATTCCGTACCCAGCTTTGTTGTCCATGTCCATTGGTTATGCGTACATGCATATAACTTCTGTGGTTTATCTCTTCCCTCCCTCCACTACCCCCTCTTTTGAGGGTTGTCAGTCTGTACCCTACTTCCACGTCTCTGGGTCTACTCTATTCCTCAGACTGTTATGTTCATTATATTCCACAAATAAGTGAAATCATGTGATATTTGTCTTTTTCTGCTTGGCTTGTTTCACTTAAGATAATACTTTCCAGGTCCCTCCATGTCATCTCAAAGGATAAGAGGTCTTTTTTTCTTACAGCTGCATAGTACTCCATTGTGTACACGTACCACTGCTTTTTTATCCATTCGTCTACTGATGGACACTTGTTACCTCCATAGAGGACTTATCTCCAAATACACTTACACTGGGAGGTTAGGGCCTCAACATATGGATTTGAGGGGAATATGATTCAGTCCGTACACCTACTGTCATTTTTTTCCATGGCTCTCCACGTCTGCAGGATAAAGACCAAACCTTTCCAAGTGGCATTCAAGTTACTTTTCATGATCATGACCTGATTGACTCCTCCTACCACTCTCCTCCTTTCCTTATACCCTTCTCCCACCTCTGATATAGCCTACTGTCTACAGTTGGTTCTCAACTACTAGGCTAGGCCACATTGTGTACCCCTCCCCATATGTGCTACCAGAGTAGTGAATGGGTAAAATATATTTTTGCTAAACCTAAATCTACACATTATTCTGTAATATCTGCTCAATTGTACATCAAGTCAAGTGTTTTGTGCAATGCAGTATAGAATAAGATGTTTTTGAGAGTAGAAGAGGCTTAACAAAACAGAAGGCCAGCAGAAAAGAGAATGTGGCTGAAACTGTGCATCGTGAGTATATAGGAGAGTTTAGTCAATAGCTCATAGTACAGTACAGTTCTCTTCACACAATGCCAGGGTGCAAAGAAACTGAGAGAATCCTGCAATAACTGAATGCTCTTATAGATAGCCTCAGATATCACTGTGATGTAGTATTCTAACAGCCAATGTAATGAGTCTGTGCCATGTGCTAATCTATTACTATGCTAAGCAGTTTACATGTATCTACTCATATTCATCTTAAAACAGCCTCATGATGCCTATCCCCATTTAATCAAACAAAGCTTAAATGATTTTCCGAAGTTCCCACAACTGGGAAGTGGCAGAGCCTAGATTCGAAGCCTGCATCCTAACTGCAGAGCTCACAAGACTCACTATGTCATAGTAACTGCTGGCCATGGCATTGTTCAGGTATACTGCCAAATGTTCTAAAATTTTAAAATACAGTGTGAGAAGAAGATGAGAAACATCTTTCCCAGCCCTGCAGCCCTACAAGCTGTTTCTTCAACCTACAATGCACTTTTATGTCTCTACCTATAATGCTCTTCCCCATTTATCTTCAAGACCAAGCTCAGACACAACCCTCTCAATGAAGCCTTCCCAGAGGTGATCTGGAGACTAGCAGATGAGCAGCTTCCTTCTCTATGCTCCCATACCAAGTCCATAAACTTCTCTCTTGTATTTATCACAGTCTCTTATCTGTGTTACAGGTAATTGTGTATGTTTCTATCTTTCCCACTAGATTATAAACACCATAGTGTAGTGAGCTTTGGAAGCAAACTGGGTTTGGAAGTCTAACTCTGTTGCTTACTATTATTTGTGTGACTTTGAGCAACCTCTTAAACACCTGTGAGGCCCAGCTTCCTCAGATATAAAAGGAGGAATGGCAAAAATATTCACTTCATAGAGTTGATATAAGATGGAATGTGCTTGGCCATAGTTTGCCCTCAACAATGTTAATTTTCTTCTCTATAAGAGCAGAGGTCATTTGTTATTTGCTTAACCCCCATGCCTTTTCACCTACTGAAACTCAAATATTTGTTGATTGAATAAATAAGTGCATAACTGAAGTAATGAATGAATAAACATATGCTCTCTACAGTAATATTTCCATTTTGTTTAGCTTTTCCATCTATACCCATCTGGCAAATTTTCTAGGCTGACAATTTTTTGCAAGAATACTCCCAAAAGGTTAATCTGTTTAAAAATCTGCTTTAGGATTATTTTTAATACATCACCTCTCTCCTTGGTTTTGATTTTATCTCATGGTTCTATATATATACGATGAGAGGAAAGATGACTCCCTGTAATTATTAAAACATAAAATCTGGTTTTGGGTACCACTATTTTCTAAGTCTATAGTACTCTCTCTGCATTGCTATCATCACTATTCTAGAATTTTTAGCTTGATGGCAGAAAATAAATTGGAGTAGAAGTTCTTTTTAACTAATAAAACATTTATAATAATCTATTTAATTTAAGAGAATCTTCTACATGTTTTGAACATCTACATGATAAGTAAATTCCTGAAATAATATTCATTTAAAAAATGAGAAATAGCATTTCCTATCAATTCTCTAAAAGGTATTTCTCTCCCACTATCTCCCTAAAATTATTGAAAATCTAAAAATTTGTTTTCCATCTCTCCTAAAAGTACCTTTATGGCTTTCTCTCCTCAATTGATATTGATTTTTCAGTTACTGAAATTTTTTGAAACTTTAATGTTATCCTTCGTTTTGGAGTATTTTCCAGGTTTACATTATAAATGCTTTTGGTTAGTGGACAAAATGCTATTAATCACAACTTCAGTTTCTGTGATGGATATCCATAGCAGAAAATAAAAAACAATTGAGTCTATCAAGACTAGATGGCTTACTCTGCCCATAAAGAAAAACTTATAGCACTATACTGGCCCATTATTCTTTCTTTGATAGTTCCAAAGTAGTCTGAAAACATTATAATAAATGAATGGTCAGCTCATTCTTTGAAATCATAAAACTAGGTTGCTTTCTAGTTTTGCCACCTTTCAGAAAGCTTTTTAATGGTTATCTCTTCATGAAAAGAATTATAAATGATTCATTTGCTGGGAGATGAATGACATATGTATGCCTTAAAATACTGTCCATCTGGAATCCAAGTTTTTAACATGAGTAAATATAAAATACGTTTTACAAGGAAAGTATTCAATCTTCATATTAACATCTCAGATAAAACCTTTATTGTGAATGGGGTTTTAATCTGTCCGATCACACAACCTATACAATACTGACCATAGTGTAAGTCTAAATTAAAAGTGAGTTTGCTATATGTCACTTCTGTGAAAAAGAAGCAAGTTGTACTATTATAAGGACATTCTTAAAAGAAGAAAAATCTAAGATGCTTCACAAGGTGTATTCTTAGGCACTGAATCATGAAAATGGAAATACAATTTTGATGTTATCTTTTGTTATCTGACACTTTCAAAATAGTAAGAGGGATAATCAGAATTGCTATAAGTTAGTGTCCTAATGCCAAACAAGAGATGTAGGGAGTTCTGTAAAGAAAATCTTCTTTGGTGTCTAAGTGATCAGGATTAGCTTCTCAGACAAAGCTAAATTTTCTCAGTAACAGTGTTATCTAGTTTTGTTTCAATTTTACTATCCTGCCCTAATGTAATATTAACAACAGTTCCTTTTCCCTTATAACACAAATACCACTAGAAAGTGGTGGATTTCTCTTTCGTCAACAAAATATACTTAGTCATTTAAGTTCTTGTTGTTCCTAATTTAACAAAGAATTCAAATGGAAGATTCATAAAAACAGAATGTGCATTCACAATAATAAGCAAATGTTTTAGTAACAAATGATAGTTAAGAGTATATGAATATTAATTACTCTTTTATATCTTC